TGGTTTTTTTTTTTTTTTTTATAAAAATACACTTGACAGTCAATAATGTAAATGCAGCAATAATTGTAGATTAAAAAATACGTGCATGTGCAAACCTGCTTTACAGGAACCCCTTTGTGATTTAATTTTTAAATAGTTTATTTCTAAGTTGAAGAATGAGCTTGTACCAGTTTCAGTTTGAGGAAACTTCAAATTTTTATTTCATGTCTGCCTAAACTGTGGTAAACCAGGACATAATTATGTATATATTACATTTTCAAAATAGCCATAATAAAACGAGTTTAGTAGAATTGATCTTTTAGGAAGTAACAAAAGGCTTTATATAACCAGGTTTTAATGAAATAATTTTTTTTAAAAAATTACCGTTGTTAGAAATAGTTTTGTTTAGTGGCATTCTGGACTTTTGAATATATAAAGTTCGAAAGTGAGCTAATATCGAAATGTTTGGAATTCCTTTTAAGGCAGTCCGTAAATAGAAAGTGACAGCAGATGACACATTTGTTGAACAGTTTCCCTAATTTGCACACGATATAAAAATTCAAACTGTTTATATTAAAAAAAATAAACATGACAGCATTCTGACTTGGTGAAAACTACCTTAACTTGATACTTTTTCTACAAGAACCTGATCAATAAAGGAAACTAAGCGAGGGAAAAATTGTCACCGGTCATGGGAGGTTGTCCTTATAAAGTGACGTTCTGCTGTACTACCCACTCCAGCCGACAGGAAGTTTAATCAATATAATAATTTTAAAAAACAGTTTGACTTAAGTTCAGTCCAATAACCGGAAACTACTCGGCCAATTTGCGTGACGATTGAGAAATGGTCGCTAGTTTAACACGAACTGCGGCATTTTACAAAGGTATGGTCGTATATTTTATTGTGCCAGGAAAATGTTTGATATTTAAAACTTTCGTCATCACACACACACCCACCCACTTCCGACCGATGTCGAGCATAACATGTTGTGGCGGGAAATACCGCCCGCTGAGAATGAACCAATTACATCACTAAGAACAAATAACCAGTATCAAGCACGCCCAATCTGATTGGTCCAAAGAGAGTCTTCTAATTAGAATCACGTGACATAATTGGAATCCATAGCCCCGACCATCGTTGAGTTCGAAGTTAGTGTTTGCCTCGTTGCCTTTTAGGTATATAGATTAACAGTATTTTTGGGTCATAGTTGAGAGAATTTCAGGAAGAGTCGATGGCTGGTGCCACAGGAGAAAATGCAGAAAGTCCGGCGGCTTCTCCGAGACAGCAGGCGAACAGAAAACCGTCGCGCAATCGCCTTTCCTGCCAAGTAACTCTTTTGGACGGAACGGTTTTAACTACCGATCAGTTACAAGTAAGTTAAAGTTTCTTTCAACGGTTGAGATTCTTAGAAGTCTTAAGCTGATTTGATCGGTTTTCAACCAGTAGTTACCTTTTGGTTTTCCCATGTAATATCGTAAACCGTCATGCATAGAAATGTAATTCTATAAATTTCACAATGAATCATTGCACATCAAACATTTTACACTTGTTGGTCTAGCGGCTCGACCTGCAATGATTTGAACGAGGTTTTGGAAGTTTTCCACAGTTTTTCCACATCATAACACATTAATGCCAAGAATTGATGTTAATCCTATACGATTTTACTTTTTTCTAGGACAATTTTGGAAAGGGAAACCAACCTTCGAAACGATTATTTTAGCCAGCGTTTAAGGAGCACTAACGATTATGTGAAAATTAACACGTTTCGTGGCCGTATTGAGAGACTCCCTTAACGGCGTATAGTTATAATAATAAAATCGACGCGCTAATAGTTTTGGGAACTTATTTCGGCGCATATAGTTAAGAAATTATATTTGCGCACAGAAAAATCAAACTCACGTTTACCCTTGTTCTACGCTGTTGTATTAATTCGGGTACATAATTCCTCATTCCATTATTACTTCGTCATTTCACTGCGCTGTATGTAGGATTTTTATTTCGCGTCATCTCCATCTTGTAGCTCAAAATCCGTGTCGATAGGCCAGACTTCAACCCTGCAAGCGAAGAAAATGTTTACTTTAGCGTGCACGCTTTGCTTGGTTGGGGTGTCGTGTTACAAAACGGCGTAAACTAAAACTTGCTTGCTGCAGTTAAGCGTTATGTTTTGACGATCATTCTTGTGAAATTGTGCAGTTTTAGTGTCATTACATCAAGACTATCGAACTGTACAGAAAGTGAAGTTCTGTGCCAACTTTTGGTGTGCTCGTTTAAATAACATATCCCCATTGTCTATGTTAAGTAGAAGCTTAATATGTGTTAACACGAGTTTGCTTTCCAAAGAAAAGTGCCAAAGGTCTTGATTTGATGCACTGGGTGACAACGCAGTTGAACATCTCAGAGAAAGAGTATTTTGGTCTTCTGTGGGAAGATAAAAATGGAGAAAAGGTACGTAGACGGTAGAAATAGCATGTATGTTCTTTAGTTCATGAAAGTTCTGTTTTGAACAGATGACCGTTTCTTGTCATTACCAATCAACCCCCTATCGGGAAATCAAACATTGTTAAGCATTAGGAGAAAAGATTGAAATGATTTTTAGCTTGTTTAGCGATTGTGTGGTATAACTTTCGTTGCGTGACAAGCAGGTTAAAATATTATTCACTATCTTAAATGTAACAACTTTCAACAGGTTTTTGTTGGGTTCTGCACGGGATAACTGCGATATGTTTTCTTATTTTGTTTCGTCTACAGTTCTGGCTTGATCCCCAGAAGAAAATTACAACTCAGCTGAAAGGTATATTTGTTTTGAACACCAAGAACTTCCTGTTTTCCCACGTCTACGGCTAACGCCTAAATGTTATTGTCATGTTAATTTGTTTTTTAGTATTCTAGACAAACGTTTCCCAGGAGAATTATATTGTGTAAATTTGTGGTGTGAACTCGATTTGTAGAATATTTATGAGCACTTTTAATATACCTCTCCTTGAACCACTGTTGTTAGATTAAAACAAATTGTGTTTGTTTTAGATGTAGACAATATTTTGGATTGATCAAAAATTTTAGATTCTCCTGTTTTCTAAAATCAAATTTTCCACTACAATGATTTATTCATGGGTGGCTCCAAAAAGGTGTTAGTAATCTTAATGTTACATGTAGTTACCAAAGAGGATTATAATAGTTTCAATTCAGACAAGCATACAAAGATAACTGGAATGAATGGTAGATTTATTAGTTGCAGAAGGGTTTGTTTATGGTACATGCTGCTGGAGCAGATAAAGATCTCCAAGGTTGACAGCATTTGTTTTCCTCTATGTGAGGTCTAATTATTGAATAATTTCTTGATTGATGCCATCAATATAACCTGTTGGTCCTGTTAAGATAAAAGCACCCAGAGTATTTCCTACCCTATCTTGATCTAAATGCGATTGGATTCTTAGCATTTCAGACACATGTTTGTTTGGTTTAGTGGTCTGTTTAGTCTATTGTTTTATTTATTTGTATCTCGGTCTAAAACAAAATAAATATTCAAACTCTGAGCTAAATACACAAAGGTTACATTTCCATGACTGAGCACTATTTAATTTCCATTTTTGATAGCATTATTTCCTGTCATGAAGGAGACACCCTTATGTTCAAAGGTTTCCCATGTGATAAAACATTTGTTCACTGAAGTGTTCACGTGGGAAATTTTTCATTCTCAATATTGGAGTACTCTGGTTCTTCACTGTGGTCTTTAGTCAGCACAGCAATAATTCTGGCTCTTCATGCCAGTTGAGACCTCTCACCCCAAGTCATTCACACAAAATGTAAAAGTCATGAAACTTGAAACTTGAAACTTGAATACATGTATACTTATCAGGTCACAGAAAACTAATGGCATCTTGAATCCAAATCTCTTTGAATACAAAAGCCATTCGATATTCTTAGTGAGGCTTCTGGATTTATTTTTTAGTTTTGAAAAATACATCTGTGGCAACATCATAGTCTAATTTTTGTCCCCAAGTTTTCTTTGTATACCCTATGTTGTAGCAACCATTTTCATCCTTGAGACACCATGAAATATATTGACTAAATTGCCAGAAATTTTAGAGTTTTTTAATCTTTTTGTTCAGTGTTTGAGACTCGTTAAAACTTGCTCTTATGACTGATTCAAATTTCATACATGTATACTCTAAATGAATAGAAGACACAAAATTAATGTGGTTGAGATGTTTATGTAAAAAAAAAAATTGCAGTGTGCAGAAAAGCTAGGGAGTTTGCCATTTAATCCATGTTATTTAAGAAAAGAAAATTCATTGTAATTGAAGGGACGTGAACTTAATTTTGTACAGCTGTTGACAATGATAATTGCTCATGAGCTTTTGTCCTGCATCGCAATTGAATTAATCACATTGAAATCATGGCTTCTAGAACATATTAATGCATTTATAAATAAGAATCAAGGTGCGAGTGGTCAGGATCCTTTTAAATGCATACATGAAATTTTGAAGGATGTCACTGTTGACAGTCTTTCATGAAAGTGGCATTGAAAAACTATTCTTAAATCTCTCAAAGTCTTAGAGAAGACCTCACTTCACAGGTAGAAAGTTGTAGCTACATGGATGCCATTGTATTCATTTCCTTTATCATTACTTATTTTTAGAAAATTTTAGCACCCTTAAGCTAAGTGTCTCTTCTCCTTGCCAGGGTTACGTTTGAAGATAGTGTTTACAGCATGACTGTGTAAATTAAGAATAATAGTAATACTGTTTTTCTGCACAATTCAAAAGAGGATTTTGCTTTACAAGCAAAATCATTAGGTGCACATGCATGTAGTCAAACCTCTTTAATTTCCAAGACAAATACACACATGTAAGGGCCAGACCTGGGTGCTCACATCACATTGTCCATA